CACTTCCAAGTGTACTTTATTTTTCAGCCTCAGGTTGTTGCTTGGTTGCAGTAGATCTCTAAATGGTCAGGACATGGCATTGATCAGTCCAACCATGTTCACGCTAGTATCACAACTTTTAACTGGATGAGAGAGTGTCAACATGGCCACCAGAGATTTAATTCCCAGAAAGAGTTCTTGCACAGTCAATATTAGGTAAGTAGATACAATTATTGCATTAAAACATTTTGGGAAAGTGTTTAAAGCTCATAGCTTATTGTATCAGCTGGATGATGTCCTGCAGGAGGGTTTTTATAGGAAGTCACTACCTGCATCTGTTACAGTGATCTTATTATAGTATCAAGTGAAAGCTTATTGATTGTAGACAACACTGAGGAAAGAGATGAAGAAAGTGAGTTAACAATAGGAATGTGTAGGCAATGACCAAAGCATGACAATGCTATCAGCTAATTCACCCATTCACTGACTCTTGTCACACACCTGTTATGCCTCATCCAAATGCCTTGAGCAAACAGATGTTTGATTCCTGTTTGATCTTTTGAGGCTGATCCATTTCCAAACAACAGAAGATGCTTGTTTTTTTTAGAATGAGCCCTTCCTGCAACTCTTGCAAGTCTTGCTAAACACCAGCCCTGGAAATACCTGAAAGCAATGAGGTGGTAACAATCTGCAGGCTGTAATCCACAAGTTTCTCAAAATAGTTTGGTGGAACTTTGGCCCATTCCTCCTGACAGAACTGGTGGAACAGGTCTTTCAGCCGACTTGCTTCACAAGCCTTTTCTGCTCTGCCCACAAATTTTCCAGAGAATTGAGATCAGGCTTTGTGATGGCCACTCCAAAACATTGACTTTGTTGTCCTTAAGCCACTTAGTAACTAATTTGGCTGTATGCTTAGGATCATTGTCTATTTGGAAGACCCATTTGCGCCCAAGCTTTAACTTCCTGTGTTAAGATGTTGCTTCAATATTTCCACGTAATGTTCTTTCCTCATGATGCCATCTATTTTGTTAAGTGCACCAGTCCGTCCTGCAGCAAAACACCCCCAAAACATGATACTGCCACCCCCCTATTATGACCAAACAGTTCCATTTTAGTTTTATCAGACCACAGGACATGTCTCCAAAAATTAAAGTCTTTGTCCCTGTGTGCATTTGCAAACTGTAATCTGGCTTTTTTTGTGTTGCTTTTTTTGAGTAGCCTTTCAGCCCATGTCGGTACCGGACTTGTTTTACTGTGAATAATGACACTCTCTTTCCAGCTTCAGCAGCATCTTCACAAGGTCTTTTGCTTTTCTTCTGGGGTTGATGTGTACATTTCACACCAAAACACTTAATCTCTGGGACACAGAACTCATCTCCTTCCTTTATACTTACATATAATTGTTTGAGCAGATGAATGTGGAACCTTGAGGCATCTGGAAATTGTCCTCAAGGATGAACCAGACCTGTGGAGGTCTACACTTCTCTTCCTGATGTCTTGGCTGATTTCTTTAGATTTTCAATGTTGTCACAAAAGGAAGCAGTGTGTTTGGGGTGTTGCCTTACAGTACATCCACAGGTGTGCCTTCAGTTAACTCAAATGTTGTCAGATAACCTATCAAAAGCTTCCAAGGCCATGACATCATCATCTGGACTTTCCCAAATATTTTGAAGGCATAGTCATCTTAGTGTATGTAAACTTCTGACTTTGAAGGAAGTAATAAAAAATTCTTTCTCTCCTTATTCTGGCATTTAGTAATTAGAAATAATTTTGGTAATCCCAACTGACCTAAAAGAGGAAACGTCTAGTCGGATTTAATGTCAGACAGTGAGAAAAAAAAAGGTTTTATGTGTTTTTATACAGTATATGTAAACTTCTGGTTTCAACTGTAAGTACCTAAACCTGTACTAGTCCCTTAAAAACGATTAGCACTAAAAATATGCATGTCCAGTAAGTGGTTGAACTTCATCACTGATGATGCTTGAATTGCATCGAAGTATTATTTCAACAGTAAATAATAAACTGTCTATCTATATTTGCAGTTTTTTGTTTTTCAAAGAATTTGCAAAAAAAAAGATGAATGTTTTCATTATTGTTTGAGTGTTGATGGGCATAAATGTCCATTTTTGTCCATTTAGCAATAAATCTAAAACAGTGCAGTGTGCAAAAAAGTGAAGGGGCCTGAATGCCTTCTAAATCCACTGTGTACATATTCATATTCACACTCAAAGAGATCTCAGTCAGATTATCACGCCTTAATTTTCAACAATCACTTTATTTGAGTTTGCTTTCTCCCTGCAAAAAGGTCTGTCACCTTCTGTGATCACATCACATCCTTGCAGAAGATTGGCTTTGTTTACTTAAACCAGTTTGTAGCTTTTTGTTCTGAAACAGGAACCCTAGAGGGTGGACATGCTGTCATCCAGAAAATGGGATGTAAGGGAAACACATGTTTTCAGTCACAAACAGGCCAGACAAGAGCATTGCTTTGAACTAATGAGTTGACATTGAGCTCTAGCAGAGAGTACTTTTATGCGAAGTGCTGATAACACTGGACAGCATTGTAGGGTTTGATCATTTATTCAATAGAAATGCATTTTTATACAGCTGTACAGACGATTTGTCTTTTGTTTGCTCTCTGTGCATTCAGTGTTAAAAATAAACACGAGAATATGAAATTGTGGGTTGTCTGTAATAAAACAATTTGTATGAAAGGTCAGTGAATACATGCTGTGTGTGTACTGTGCAAGATTGTGCAGAATCTATTCCATCCCCTGTCGCATCTAATAATTTATTCCATTTAAAACTAAGTAATAATTGGAATGTAGGAAATCTGTTTGCTTTCTGAGTTTTTATTAAAAGAAAAAATGAATGAGAGCTATTCAGATTTTTCTGAAAATAAGAAAATATTTTTGTGAGGAAAAAGAAGAAAAGCTGATAAACGTGGTATGAATTATAAATGGTATTAGTAATAGGGTTTAAATTGGTGATATAAATTGTAAATAGTATGATTAGTGCGATTTCAACAATGTGTGGATGCAGACTGTTTTCAGCTCATGTGTCTTTTCTTACAGGTATGAGAAGATGATCAGTGGAATGTACCTGGGGGAGGTAGTGAGGAATGTGCTGATGGATTTTACTGACAAGGGTCTGCTGTTCAGAGGCAAAGTGTCCGAGCGACTCAAAACCCGCGGCATCTTTGAGACAAAGTTCCTGTCGCAGATTGAAAGGTGAGCAACGGTTCCAGTCTCAACACATTTCCTCAGCTCACCTCTGTTCGTCATGGTAACGGTGCCTTAAGAAAAGCAAAGACGTGATAATCAGTCAAGATCAAACAAAGCCACAATAACAACACTGAACGTGTCGGAGTAATCAAATTAGATCACATTTGTCAAATGTACACAATAATTGGCTCTTATTTGAGAAAATCAGGCCCTTAATTATCACACGATGAATGAGAACCAAAGACAGGTAAAAGGAAGATGAGTAGCACCAAGAACACATGATTACATGAAATTACATCTATTGTATCTGCTGAGATTAAAGCCTGATCAGATATTTATGTTTTCTACATAATTTAGTCTCTCAGGACACACAGTTTTTGCCTCTATCTGCTGTGTCTCATCTTCCATTTGATTTAAATCCTTGCCTGTTTACTCCAGCTGACAAATAAACTGAAATGACTTGCGTCTGTCCTTCTAATGGCGCTGCTGGATGTTGTTTTCACAAAGTCAGCCTCACACTCATTAAAAAAAACAGCATGCATAGATGAATAAGCTGGTGATTAGTTCAGCCGGCAAATATCCCTTCATGGAGATCCTAAATGCAGGTGGATAATTTCTGTTTATTTTCAGTCAGACTCCAAAACAAACATTTAAAGTGATTCATGTAACAATCAATGTTTTTGGAAAACTGCACCAAGCTGGTGATTTTTGCCGTAAAAGCACAAAAGCACGCATCAGAACAGAAAGCTAAAACATATTGACAATGAATCCTCTAAACTTCTCTCTGTTGAATAATGTCTCTTTTCCATAACTATTATAATAATATATAATTTAAAGTCCCCATTAGCTACAACGACAACGCTCTGCACCACTATGCTTCCTATTTATTTATTTTTTGAAGACTTGTGTTACTCTTGGGGTCTGCAAATTATCTCTAGATCTGCTAAACCGGCCCCACTGCAGAGTGCTTGCCTCAGAAGCCTAAATGAAAGCAGCATATTAAATAATGTTAACCTTGTTATTCTATGCTGAACTGACAGTAAATCCAGAACAGAACAGTGTGAACCTGCCCATATGATTTAGATCTATGTCAACTCATGATCCTGGCACAACAACAGCAGAGGAGGAATATGACGCGGACAATTATCCTACCGTTTCTAAATGATGTGCCAGTTTACACGACTTTATTGCAATCCGTTTTAACACAATGTAGCCACACAAGCAGCAGGTATAATGCAGAGGTATTCACAGGTAGTCTGTTCCTCTTGCTGCCAAGAAACACATGTAAATCTTAAAAGGCTGTTGATGTGATGTCGATTGTTCAACCAGTGAGAATTTGTTCACATGAGAGCATATTGATCAACCAATCAACTTTGAGACTGCAGCATTACTCATTAAGTAAATCCTTAGTTTGACAATATTTTCGCCTCACAGTATCTAACGGTTAGTATTGTCATTATGCCAAATTAATGGACGCATGGTTAATATAGAATAAATTCAGCCAGTTCATTTTAAATTTCTCACTTTCCAGTGTTAAATGTAACAAGTGCAGCATGTAAACTCAGTTCTCAAACACCTTTAAACCACAAGGGTGAAATAGATTTTTTCAAAGGTACCACGCTGTCCTTGTAAAAGGTGTAGACGTCAAAGCAGCACAGCAGCCCACTCATGAAGACAGACAGATGTGGCAGTCTACTGTGTGTGGGGGAAAGGCGTTGATAGAAGGTAGACCTGAGACTTGGGACATGTGGGCACACGTTTCACAAGGACAGCTGCAGAAAGGCGCACTCTGGTGAATAAGATATTGGACAAGATTTATATTTGGAGTTTCATTTCTACAAAAGATTCTAATTCTCTTTAGAGTATTCTATTCTTTTACAGATTTTTGAAAGCATTCTGTATTTACTGTTCGGTTGCATACAAATCTGTGAAACAGAAATACCTTTTCTATAGTTACAGTTTCTAAATTCTAAAAGGAAATGTGTAACACTGCCTAGATCATCCATCCATTATCGATATACCACTTAATCCTCACTAGGGTCGTGGGAGGCTGGAGCCTACCCCAGCTGACTTAGGGTGAAGGCAGGGGACACCCTGGACAGGTCGCCAGTCTATCACAGGGCTACACGTAGCGACAGACAACCAAGCACACTCACACCTACGGACAATTTAGAATCACCAATTAACCTCAGCATGTTTTTGGACTGTGGGAGGAAGCTGGAGAACCCAGGTTCTTCAGGTAGGAAATTGAATTGATTTGACATAGTGTGGAAAGGCACACACGTGTGGTGTGAGGTCCAATAATTCAAGGTTCAGATTCGAGGTTACTTTATTAATACCCGTGGGTAGATTTGTTTTGCAGAAAACAAATGATAGCATTCGGCAGTCCTTATCAAAACACACATTGAACCTGACCGGCAGGGACTTGATTGAGTGACAAGACGAAAAAGACGACACAAAAAGACAAAAAAGTGCTCCGTGTTCTGCCATTCATCAATATAACAAAGATACCATAAAATAAACAAGATCAAGATAAATAAAAATAAAACACAATAAAAAAAAAAACCTTAGGGAAAAAACAGCAATTTCTGGAATAAAAAGTAGGATAAGAACATAAAATTTATTTAAAAGTCACAACGATAGATAGAGCTAAGATATAAAATAAGTACAATGAAAAAAAGTGCAAATGTCACGACTTATTGTGCTCAGTGGTGGCGATAGGAACAAAGCTGTTTTTATAACGCTTTGTCCTGCACCTTGGGATTAAAAACCTGCGTCCAGAGGAAAGATGCTGAAATTCACCTCATAGAGGATGGGAGTCATCATTAAGGATTGATGAAGCCATCCTCTGTATCTGTTTAGTGTACAGGGAGGCTGGACACGACTGTGACTCACCAATCAGGCGACTGGACCATCTCACTATTTGGTTCAATGAGTTTTTCTCTGTAACAGAGGTCTGACCTAGCCAACCAGTTCACATTGTATTTTAAGCCAAAAGCCATGCCATGACGTCAAATATACCCCTGTCATACAATTGTGGCAAAGCATACTGCAGACCAGGGCAAGGCCGTAAAACCGCTTCTAAAGCTTTGGGTGTTCAGTAGGAACAGTGGTGTCAAAAACTGTCAAATGAATGAAGTGTGTTACCACCGGGACTCTTCCTAGAGTCCTTCTAACAGAGCTTCAGAAGTCTTCTGGGTGAACCTGCTGGAAGGATCTCAGCAACATCCATCATTCAGGCCTTCATGGCGGAGCAGCTGGACAGAAGCCACTCGAGTAATAAGGCACATGACAGTCTGCTTGAAGTTTCTCAAACAGCTTTTAAAGGACCCAAGAAAAACATTTTTGGTCTCATGAGACAACAATTGAACTGTTTTGGCTGATTGATCACTATGTGTGATGAACAGCAGACATCACTCATCACCTGCTGATATCATTCCTATTCAGTATCAGAGAGGTGCTTAAAGAAAACCAGAGTGCATATGATCTGAAACTGGAGTGATTGTGCACCGTTCAGGGTGACAGCATATAGCTGAGACAACACTGCAGGGGCTTGTAGATGACTCTCTGACTGTCTTCGAGTAACCCAGCCAAAGCGCAGGCTTAAACTCTGAGTGTAGAGACATGAAGATGGTAGAGACTCTTCCCCTTCAGCCTGGCAGACCTTCAGAGGATCTGCATGAAGAATGGAACAAGCAGTGTTCTGTCTACATTTAGCAACAGTGGCTTTCAACCTACAATAATTTGCCCACCTTTGTTTGTAGTGATTTTAACTTATCTTCCTACAGAGCTAAACCTGTCTCCATTAGTTGATTCTGTCAAAGTATTTACTCCATATGCGTTCTTGTGCTGAAAGCAGCTCATCTTTATGTGTGTAACACTTGTAATTGTCTCTGATCCCAAAGTGACCGTCTGGCCATGCGTCAGATCCGCTCCATCCTGCAGCACCTGGGCCTCACCACATCCACGTGTGATGACAGCGTTCTGGTGAAGGAGGTGTGTAGCGTGGTTGCCCGCCGTGCAGCTCAGCTGTGTGGAGCTGGTTTAGCCGCTGTGGTTGACAAGATACGACAGAACCGCAACCTGAATCAGCTCTCTGTCACCGTGGGAGTGGATGGCACACTTTATAAGACGCACCCTCAGTAAGACAAAATTCCTTACACTTTTGTTTTTTTCCAGTTTTGCTATCCGATGAGCCTGGTTCAGTTGAATTAAGACTTGGATTGTCAGGAATCAAAGCAGGAGTCTAGATTTTCATACTCCAGCACTGATGTATTTGCTTGCAGTTGATTTGTAGCTGAAGTGGCAACTCTGTAGAGAATGTCATCCTTTGCTCTTTACACATACATCACTACACATTAACTAAACAACACCATCAAAAAGTAGAGATGGAAATTTTTACGTACTTTTTGTTTAACACTAAACTATATTTGTTTGTTTTTCTTCCTTACCTACCTTGAAGTTTCTCCAGCATCATGCAAGAAACACTGCAGGATTTAGCACCGCAGTGTCAAGTGACTTTCCACAAGTCAGAGGATGGAAGTGGTAAAGGAGCAGCGCTGATCACAGCTGTGGCCTGTCGGATCAAGAGTGAAGGACAATACTGAGGTGGACAGGTAGAGATGGAGCTATGACGACTGATTCTCTGTAATGGGTCACCATGACTGGTTACATACACACTGACCTGAGCTTAGCGCTGTACTTCAAATATTAGTCTGACTTCTTTTGTGTGTGTTCACATGTATGTGATTGTGTGTTATGTTTCTGGTTGTTTTAGATGTTTATTTTTATCTCATGTGCTGACATAGATTAGTAAGTTAGGTTCAGAAATGTTGGACCCTGTTGCACCTCGATGAAATGTGACTGTTACGAGCCATAGGGCTCATTTTTTTAAACACTCCCTTTACATTCTTTAGCCTTCACCATGTCTCCTCCCGGCGTACTATTTTTTAAAATGAAGTCTGTAATTTGTATTGAGTTTCTACACATTTGCACCTTTCTACACAATTGAGGTAAAATTTGGAAAAACTTGTGTATACATCACCTTTAGATCAGATGTCACAAAGTGCCTCACAATAAAAAAAGTAAGTGAAACACAGCTTATAAACAATCACAGTTGAATGTGGAATTGAACTAAGAAAATAAATGTAACACATTTGCATGACTTTTGTATTTGGAATACATATTTAAGCCCCATCTTTTTTTAAACTTGAATAAGATGTCTGATTGTGCTATAAACATGTACATGAATAAATACAATGATACATTAAAAGATGAATTTACAGCAATGCCCTATTAACTGACTGACGTCCCTCATCTCAGTATGCAACCATTTTAACTGTTGTCGAATGAAGCACTAATTTAACTTTTTCAAGATCTGTCAAAAGTTCTAGTTTTGCCATTCTTTAGACGTCTTCTTTAGAGAATTACCGATCCAGATCCATGGCTTCGAACTGTAGCAGGGAGACCTCTGCTTTTAGGCTATGTGTCTTTACTAGTGAACTTAACCATCTGGACCAGTTCTATGCAGTGATAAGGAGATGAGATAGGTTCTTTCATAATATTGCATAAATCAGGCCTTCATTTCCTTTCTTTTAGAGAAGTGGACATGATTCATAACATCTGGATAGCTGTTACATTAAACTTAAACCTATCTAGACTAGTGTTGTCACGATACTAAAATTTTAAACTCGATTTTGATACTGGGAAAAAAAACTCCATACTCAGTACTGATTTGGATACCATGGAGAAAAAAAATCTACTTTTTATTGAACATTCTTGAGGTAGAATAAAACAAATAATATTCATTTAGGCAAAAAGCTTCTGTAACAGCGCAAAGAAAGAATTGTGAAGTCTTAAAGTGTGCACTAAATACTGTAAGCAGAATTTTTTTGGAACACAATTTCACACACAAACTTTTAAAATATAAACGTAGACATGGTCATCGTTGCTGATGAAATAAAGCAGGTAATATACGCTGGAATGATTGCTTTTTGCTTGTGGATGGTTAGTCTTATTCAACCTCAGTTTGGCACTAGAAGAAAAAAAACTATGTGTACAAAATTACAAATCATGACGTCACATTCAACTAAAACCCCTGATTGCAACAACAACTTCAGCTTATTCACCTTTTAATCGTGTGTTTTACACGAACTGACGTAGAAAATGTTCAGTGCGTTTGTGGTGGAAGTCAACTTTTACATTTAATGTGGGATGAAATTGTTTATCAGTCCATGTAGTCCAGTTTAACGTTTCTCCGTGTGCTTGCTAAAAGCCTCATAGTGGTAATAATAACACGTTTTACGTGTACAATCAGGGAAAATATGCTTTGCCAAAAGAGCTGCTATGGATGTCAATATAAATATACGGCTACAGCAGCAAGCCGTTAGCTTTAGCTTAATGCTAGCGGAGGTTTTTTAAAACTAAATAAGCACTAATTTGTTGGTGCAACCGGACGTATGCTTAGTAGTGCATTATTTATATTGTTTACCAGTGGTGGACCGTCAGGGCCAGCGAGGCTTTCTGTGCTGGCCTAATCTCTATCTGCATCACTGACTTACATTGTAATATTTTCCCATTATTCTTGTTGCATTATGCCTAATAGTTTATTCTCTTCATTTCATAGTGTGTCTCTGAACTGTGGTGCCTCCAGCAGCATATGTTTATATTAGAGCTTATATCCAATCATGTTTCAGCCATCATGTGTTGCCAGGGTCAAAGAAATCTGCCCTGAGGCCTTCATAATCAAAAGTGCTGGCGCCATAGGCCAGCTTTCAGAAAGTGCCTAGACATTGACTGCTGTTCCAGTATCCTGGGAAATACTTGTAAATGCGGTTTTTATCAAGTAATATTCTTCCACAAAAAATTCCACAAGCCGGCTCCATGCAGTTTTGAGTATTGTCTTCCAAAGTTGGAAAATTCATGAAAAATTGGACATTTTAGCGTCTAATAGCATTTTTCACTCCAGCTATCTCAGACAGTAATAAGGCCATACACTTTAAACTTGGCACTTATATAGACAATCTCAAAAATGTTCAATATGTGGAATATTAAGTGGGTAGGAGTGCTGGTTGTGAAGAAAAAATATTTCAAAAAAGTTATAATTTCAAAAAAAGCCTCTTCCATTAAAACAAGTACACAAGGAGACCTAATTCTTCACAAACAACATTTCCATTAGATTTTACAAACAAAAATGAATAACAAATTGCTCCAAATAAGTTCCAAACATTCTTTTATTATTCAAGTTCAGACTCTCGGGTCCATTGTAGAAAAATATAAACAAATTTAATACAGTTAATTTACTTTGGTCACACTGTCAATCAATCAGTCAAAAACGAAAGAGATATCTAATTTATGTTCTCTTACTGTGTCAATTTCTTTTTATCTAAACTGAATAATCAGCAGCACTATCATTACTAATATCCTCTTGGCAAGCTGTTCTGGAATCATTCTGACAGTTCTTGCACCCATATAACTCTTTACAATTCAGGTTTGTAGATTTACAGGAACACCGTTTTGTCGCACATTCTCCTGTTTTACACTTACAACTAATAAGCTTCAGCACCTCTCTCGGAGCAGGATCATTAGTTATCCAATTGATGGAGAGTTGATTCTCATGGATACTCCAGCTATAGCCTTCTGGTGATGGTGCACATTATATCAAATACTCAAAGCAAAATGATCCTGCAGTAACGGAAGCTTTGTAGAACAGAATTGTTCACCAGTGATGCCCTTTTTATTTCCTTTTTCAATTGAATAGTGATGGGGCTATTACTGTAGGCCTATCAGTCATTATTGCGACAACATTTTGAATTAAATATTTTTTTCCTATGGCATAAGGCATGTTGACACGCAACTCTAATTGAAGTAGATAATAGTAGTAGGTAATTCCTCAAAGTGATGTGCACATCAGAGACACCTAGATGAACAATTAACACACCCCGGTGTTTGCAATTAGATGAGTGGATATAAAAGTATGCGTAAAACGGTGCAGAAGATACCGTTAACAACAATGGCAGCTTTGGCACTGTTGGAGGATATTACCAATGGAGCAGTGCGAAGAGAACGGGTTTTCGGAGACCGAGAGAATTTTTTGGCTCAGGATCGTCCTGATTCGAAAAATCCTCTCGGTCCCCGAAAACCCTACTGGCTTATCAGCTGCTTTAGGTTCCCGAGGGCAATCCTCTTGGAACTGTGTGCGGAACTGCGGCCAGTATTGAGGCGCAACACGGCCAGGAGCCATGTCCTACCTGTGCCCATACAGGTGTTGACCACACTGGGCTTTATGCCACAGGGTCATTTCAGAGGGAGCTGGCCGACCGATCGGGACTGTGCCAGTCGACACTGAGCTGAGCTGTGTGGGGTGGAATTATCCGAATGTCAGCCAGGTACATCAAATTCCCATACACTGCAGTTGAACAGGCCGACAAAAAAGTGCAATTTGTAGCGAGAGCCGGTTTTCCTAATGTAGTTGGAGCCATGGACTGCACACACATTGCTATAAAGGCACCATTACAGGATGAATTTGTTTATGTAAACAGGAAGCATTTTCATTCCATCATTGTACAGATCATCTGTGATGCGCAAATACGATTAAGTAACATTGCGAAGTGGCCTGAATCAAAACACGACTCATTCATTCTGACCAACAGCATGTTTGGGAACAGGCTACAAGCTGGCACGGTGCGGGATGGGTGGCTTCTTGGTGAGTAAATCATTTAATGTTCACCGTGGGTGTTGGGTAATGTCACAGCATTTGTAATGATGTCACAGTGCGTGTAATGACATCACAGTGCCTGTTGTGACGTCACTGTATGTTTAATGACATCACAAAGTTTGTTGTGACATCACAATGCGTGTTGTGACGTCTAAGTATGTGCAATGTAGGGCTGGGCCGAATAGCTGAATAGCCGACTATTTGTTCGCTGTGCTGGAATCAGGATATCAAACTGGATTGCCGAATATCCCTGCTGCCGCGAAAACGGAGCCGCCACTGCTAACGTAAACACAGAAACTGGTCTGTGTAGCCAAATGCGGCCTGTGCGTCGCGTCAAGCTCACTCCAGCTTATAGGAGCCTGAGTGCGCCCCCCTTCTCATGGGGATCTTTGACTTGTGCTTCAAAGCCTTGACTGTCGGGTTCGTTGCTACTTTTAATTATAGAGTTACCGTTTTTTTCGTTTGACTTAAAATTTTGTCTCCAGGTTAGTGTAAAATATTAAAAATGCATTTAAAAAGATTTGATCTCTTAGCTGTAAAAAAAAAAAAAAAGGATGCGTTATCCTGACCAGAGGTGACTTTACCATTCTGAATGGTTTAAGGACTCCTGCAAAGCCTTATTGTAATGCCATGAAAAAGTAAGCTTAAACATTAAACCTTACCCCCAATGGATTTAAAGAGCCTGAGAGAACACATGGATCCTTAATTGCCACTCCAAGAGGGTGGGAGTTAATTAAAACTCGATGGTCAGGTAGAAAAGGGCACGGATTACTGGCGTTCTCTTTTAAACTAATACTCACGGAGTTGTGCACAAATATAAATATCCAATTACTACATTAAGATATGCTACTCTCACTCTGAAGCTAAAACTAAGCTTTGTTTTTTGCTCTTTGACTTCTTTAGCCAACAGCAGATTGTCTACTTTTTCATTTAGGTAACATCTAATACCAGCTGTTTCACTGTGTCCAAGTCCCATGATCTTTTTTCGACTAATATTTGCTGACATCAAACAAACACACAGTAGCATTAGCCTTGAACTGCTGTTTTTCTCTATTCAGCGGAAGTCGTTATTTTTTTTGTCTTCAGATAAACACTAAAAGAGATTCATTGTGGTACTGCTTTCAGCCAACAAAATAGTCTACATGTCTGGGAGGAACAAATGAAAAGCTTTATCTGATATATAAACATTTATGTAAATCCAGTGCGAAGGAGCTGAACTGAACCAGTATTTTCACATTTACATATTATTGTTGTGCTTCTTAGATTCATTTTCCCAGTCACACCACCTTTAGGTTCTACTACAACAAGCTCATATCAAACAACCTGGAGTGACCATCAAATGTAATTCCCTCATTTTGTGTGAAGAGCAGACTGCAGAATTGTGAACAGCGATGGTTGGTGACGCTCCCAGGAGAGTCGTCGATTAAAGGAATCCAGAGGATTAAAAGAAGGGATTAGTTCTTGCCTTGTTGGTTTCTCCCCCCCCCCTGTTTGTAAGTAATAAAAATTACTATGATATATTGTGCAGACAGTTCCGGATATTTAATCCAAGTCTGTAAATATGGAGCAGTG